ATAAAGTGCCATTAGCTTTTCTGATGGCTTCGTCACACTGCCAACTCATGTTCATCTTGGAGTCCACTAGGACTCCAAGATCCCTTTCTGCTTCTGTTCCACCAAGCAGGTCATTTCCTAGGCAGTAGGTATGCTGGACATTTTTTGAATGACAATACTGCCATTCTTCAGAAGAAACAGGAAAATGCACTATAATTGTGCCATTATGTGTTCCATCAATAGCACAAACATGCATATGCTATATGAATTCCCTTTTGATTTCAAGAGCAGAAAAACACAAAAACAGCAAGGACACAAGAACTGTATATTATTCAGAACAATATACAGTTCCTCCAAGACTAACGAAAACAGACACGTCAGATTTATCATACGCTTGAACTTGCCAGACTACTTCTTAAAAGCCTTCAACCTGGTATCCCACGATCACCTCTTGGCTAAACTGGCTTACTGTGGCCTTTATGTCACCACATTCCGCTGGCTGGGGAACTGGCTCCGCAGTAGGACCCAGAGGGTGGTGGTCGACGGGAGTCAGTCGTCTTGGTGCGCTGTGACCAGTGGGGTCCCTCAAGGCTCTGTTCTAGGGCCTATACTATTTAACATCTTCATCAATGATGTGGACATTGGTGTCAGAAGTGGACTGGGCAAGTTTGCCAATGACACCAAACTCTGGGGTAAAGCATCCACACCTGAGGATAGGAGGATGATCCAGGCAGATCTGGACAGACTCATGAAATGGGCGGACGAGAACCTGATGGTGTTTAACACTGAAAAATGCAAGGTTATCCACCTTGAGAGAAAAAACCTGCAGCATCCTTATAGACTCAGTAGTGCTACTCTGGTTAGCACTACAGATGAAAGGGACTTGGGGGTCATGGTTGACCACAAGATGAACATGAGCCTTCAGTGTGATGCTGCGGCTAGTAAAGTGAGCAAAACGCTGGCTTGCATCCGTAGATGCTTCTGAAGCAAATCCCGGGACGTCATTCTCCTGCTGTACTCAGCCTTGGTGAGGCCGCAGCTGGAGTACTATGTCCAGTTTCAATGGACAGTTTCAATTGTTTGCCCCCCATTGAAGCTCCACAATTCAAAAAGGATGTGGAAAAGCTTGGGAGGGTGCAGGGGAGAGCCATGCGCATGATCAGAGGTCAGGAAAACAGACTTTATGATGAGAGGCTGAGAGCCATGGGGCTATTCAGCCTGGAAAAGTGCAGGCTCAGGGGTGATCTGGTGGCCACCTATAAGTTTATCAGGGGTGGCCATCAGGATCTGGGGGACCGTCTGTTCACCAGAGCCCCCCAAGGGATGACAAGATCGAACGGTCACAAACTCCACTGTGACTGATTCAGGCTGGACATGAGAAAGAACTTCTTCACTGTCTGAGCCCCCAAGGTTTGGAATAGACTGCTGCGGTAGGCGGTTCAAGCACCCACTTTGAACACCTTCAAGACACATTTGGATGCTTATCTTGCTGGGATCCTATGATCCCTACTGACTTCCTGCCCCTGGGGCAGGGGGCTGGACTCGATGATCCTCCGGGGTCCCTTCCAGCCCAAATGTCTATGAAATCTATGAAATAGTACCAAATCAGAACAGCACTGACATAATTACCCTTAAATCATCTCATCTCTTTGTTATGAATCCATTCACATTCTTATTTCCCTTAATTTAATTTTAAATTTGTTGTTCTTCTGTATTAAACTTTTGCAGCTTAGTGAAAAGTATGGACCAGTGTTCACAATATATATGGGCACAAGACGGGTTGTGGTGCTGCATGGACGTGAGGCTGTGAAGGAAGCTCTGATTGACCAAGGGGATGAGTTCAGCGCACGGGGAGTTCTGCCATTATTTGAAAAGATTTTTAAAGGATCAGGTTTGTTACTAGTAGCTTCAGCACATACAGATGATATCTCTGGTATGAGAAAGCAAAATGGGAAATAGTTGGAGTTTCACTTAGTACTGTGATAGAGACTGGGACCAAGATTTTTAAGTATAGGATCCTTATGTTAAAATCCTAAATCCAGATTTAAGTACCTGAAAAAGTGGACAGATTTTCAAAGTGTTGAAAGCACAGCAGGCCAGATTGACATAATTAGATGCCTTTTGGTTCTCAGTATTTTGAAATGTTGGCATATCATTTTGATGTCTCTCTATGGACAGGTAATGTGAAGCTTAAATTTCTGAAAATCTTAGAAAATGCATGTGACTTTTCCATAGGGTATCAGCTGTAGTTCCCTTTAATAGTTTCATAAAGACTGGTTTAATATGCATAGCTCTCGTAAGGGGGCCATTCATTTTTAGGCCACTGGGTCATTGGCCTAGGAATTCCTCCTCTTCTGTTCTCCACCAGGCCAAGTTAGATTGAATTTTATTAGAAAATGTTTAGGATTGTAAATCCAAAAAAGCTGACAAAGCCGGTAGGGAAATACATAGCTCCTGAGCGAGGGACTAACAATAGAAGGATGAGGGTGAGGAGGGGAACACAACTAGGTTACAGGAGATACAATGTTAGCCAAATAAGCCCTGGGGTAGGGGGAGGGGGGAAGGGGGAAGGGGAGGGAGGGGCTTCGCGACACTCAGAGAAAAAGAAGATAGATACACACAAACCCGTTACAATGGTCCACAAGGTGGAAGAGTGGTTACTACATTACTAAAGGATTATTTATATTACTATTAGTTCACTTGGGACTTTCAGATCTTGAGGGCAAACCTAATCGCATTCAGGAAGGAACAATTACTGGGGTGTTTTTTTTACTGAGCCATCTCTCTAAGCAGAGACCTGCCCCATGGCTCTTATTTACAAAATAAATAAAATAGAACCAGAATGAAACGCATAAATGATATCTGCATGGATTGATTTAGAATCCAGATCCAAATCCACAAGTCAGGATGGGAAAGAGATGAGAAATGGACCCTTGCCAATAGGCAAACTATAACTCCAAATTGCTCTGGGCTGTCTTTTTGCCTGAATCTTTGAAGGCAATAAAATGAAACACTTAAACTCTAGTGATGGGCAAATTTGTGGTGAAATTGAAACGATTTGTCAGGGATCTTGAAAACGTAACACAGTTAGAGTTTGTGAACCTTCTGCTGGTGCACTAAGGAAGTCATCATTTCTTGATACATATACATAGCTAGAACCCCTAATTTAAATAATGTGCATTTACATGGTAATGACACTATGCAAGGAAAAACCCTACAGTATAAATGACCTTACATGTCAAGAAAAGTTCATATGCTTCTTACAAAGTTCAGCAGTTTGACTGATACTAACTTTCCCCAACTATGTATATCCTGGTGCAGTTATGTTTGCCTTGGGCCTATTATATGTACTTTGATCAAGCTTCTGTGATAACAAGAAAAAATAAAGACCCTCACTCATGCATATACTTTCTTATATCTACTGTCTGTGCTTTCATTAACATGATTCACTCTGAGAACAAAATGCATGGATCAGACATGGTGACTAATGGGATGTTTTCTTGCATGCTGTAGTTGCAATGGAATGACAGTAAAATGGATGTTTAGGATTTTGTAGCATAAATCTTGCATCAAATAGCCTAATTGTCAGGCTATGGCAGCATAACTATAATTATGTAAAAAGAGAGTTTGACTGTCTTCTTCTTTTGCCAGGTATTGTAATAAGCAATGGAGAGATGTGGAAGCAGCTCCGCCGATTTGCCCTAACCACCCTGAGGAATTTTGGGATGGGGAAGAAGAGCATTGAGGAGCGGATCCAAGAAGAAGCTCATTTTCTGGTGGAAAGGATCAGGAGCACACATGGTAAGGAGAAGCTTCATGCCTAGGCAAATGCAGAAGTTAGAAGTCACAGGTTTCTACAAGTATGTCAGCAACAAGAGGAGGATCATAGAAAATGAGGGTCCTTTACTAAATGGGATCGTGGGCAGTGGGGAAACCTAGTGACAGAGGATGCAGAAAAGGCTGAAGTACTCAAGGTGTTTTTCACCTCAGTCTTCACAGGCAGGGTCAGTTCTCAGACTACTGCATGTGGCAGCACAGTTTGCGGAAGACGTGAGCAGCCAAGAGTGGCAAAAGACCAGGTTAGGGACTATTTCATAGATTCATAGATTGTAGAGTCGGAAGAGACCACAATGGATCATCATGTCCGACTCCCTGCCCCTGGCAGGAAAGAGGACCGAGGTCAGATGACCCCAGCCAGGTGACTATCTAGCCTCCTCTTGAAGACCTCCAAGCTAGGTGATAGCACCACCTCTCTTGGAAGCCCATTCCAGATTCTGGCCACCCTTACTGTGAAAAATGTCTTCCTAATATCTAACCTAAATCCACTCTCAACTAGTTTACACCCGTTATTCCTAGTCACTCCCTGGGGCGCCTTAGTAAACAGCGCTTCCCTTATTCCCCGTTGACCTCCCCTAATAAATTTATAGGTGGCCACAAAATCTCCCCTCAGCCGTCTCTTGTGAAGGCTGAAGAGATTCAGCTCTCTCAACTTCCCCCCGTAGGGTCTATCATGAAGGCCACTAATCATGCGAGTGGCCCTCCTCTGAACCCTCTTGAGATTCCCTGAGTCCCTATTTAGAAAAGCTGGATGTGTAACAAGTCCCTGAGGCCATATGGGATGCACTTCAAGGTGCTGAGGGAGTTGGCCAATAGGGGTGTGTGAAGTGGGCCCTATTTGATTTGCATTCGGATTTGGCTCAAATCAGGGACAGTGATTTAATTCATTGGTTTGGATCACTGTCCCTGATTCGATTCAGCCTAATCCAAATCTGAAGATTCGATGCTGATTTGGAGAATCAGTGATTTGGACATAGACACAGCTTTAAAAGTTTTTTCTACACACCTGGAGGTAGCAGGCATGGCTCATGATTGCTGCAATGCTGGGGCACATGAAGCATCCCACAGGAGTGCGGTGGACTCTCCACGTGCTCAGCGGCAAACCCGGACGTGGACTGGAAGTATTTCTGGTCCACTTCTGGGTCTGCTGGGGAGCATGCTGGGGGGCCCCCCCATACCTCCCTGGCTCAGCGATCAGCCCCAGGAGGACCATGGGTGCACCCCCCAGACCCAGGAGGCACCAGTCACTGAGCTGCAGCTGTCACTGAGGGGTGCAGGGGGGAGCCCTCCCAATTGCCCTTGGACTGACTGTGGAGAGTCCCAGACCCGGCCGGGCCAGGGCTCGACACCACATTCGTCCAGCTGCTGGGTGGGTGCAGCTCAATGCAGCCATGGCACAGAAGTGGGATCAGGCCCCAGCTCGGCCGGTCCAGGAAGATCTAGTCATCCAGGAGCGCATGGGATGGGGGTGGCTCCCACCACTAGACATAGCCTGACAGAGGCCCCAGGGCCCCTGCCTCACCCCCCGACCTGTGCTCAGGATGAGAAGGCTGCTGCTGCGGGTTGCCCACTGCACCCGGAGCACAGGTGGGGGAGGGGAATGGATCACCAGGGTCTCTGTCAGGCAGTTCCCAGTGGCGGGAGCCCCCACCCCGATGCATCCCTGGACAACCAGATCTTCCCAGACCTGGCTGGGCCAGGCCGCTCCCGCATGAGTCCCCGCTGCTTAGCTGAGCTGCACCCACACATGGCTAGCTTTCAGTGGGGCTTGCGATG